ATAGACCTTCTGACGGTTTTGAAGTCCACCTCAGTGACGAGTAGGCAAAATCATGAGAAATTACAGTCACTGTGTTTGTATGAGAATCAAAAACTAAAGCTAACGTTTCAACTGAAAACATTTGAGGGCGTTCCGTTCAGCTACATGCAATAGCACTAAATTATAAAATTTTCCATACATTATTTGACTGTAAAAATTTATCTTCCTGCCGATTAAAATTTTCCGGGAAAAATTGCACACAAATATATAAAAAACCTAAAGCATGCGTCTACAAAAAAATGTAATTACCTGTACAGGTACGGTCCCCAAAATTTGTTAGTAAAATACTTTGGTGCGTAGGTTTAGTTTACAATTCAAATTCTTTTCGAAACAGCCGTATTACGAAAATTATTTTACATTAGATTTTCATGCAAACACTATAATTTCTCACGCAGTTGCCTACTCGTCAAGATGGCTTGCAAAACCGTGACAAGGTCTATTTTGGTACCTTCTACTCCTTTCAACTTCCTTGTCACTTTTATTTGTTGATTTTGTGGTTGTTTAAGGCCACTGTTGTCTTGAAAACTGATCTTAAATTTCTCTCCACACGAGTCGACGACTTCAACTTTGTCATCGCATTTACAGTATGCTCTCTCAATCTCAAGATTAGCTGAAGAGTCGAACGGTATGTTGTCTCCCCTAGGTAGTGCATGATACCATTGAATGGTATTTGAAATCAATTTGGCGTTCTCCTGGTTTTGTCGCTCTTTCTCACGTTTTTTAACTTGATCGATCTTCCCCCTGATTATCTCAGTCATTGTAAAGACGTCCTCTTTAGTTCCGCTCAATGTTACGCAGTCTATGACCTCTTCAAAAGTCATTTCAACCTCCATGTTCTCTGCTTTCCTTACAAGCATGTTTATGTCTGCCGTAGTGAATTCTTCACAGACTACATCTCTGACATCTTTGGTAATGCAGGTCTCACTAAAGTCATTTTTTAATTCTTCAACCGCACAGTCAACGCTTTCTTTGTCTTTGCCAATAAGACTAAATCTTAGAGTGTTATTTTTTGAGTTTGTCGAGACTGCAGCAGTACTTGAGTTTTCGTATTTCGTCTTCCCCTGCCTAAAAGCATCAGCCATTGCCGCTTCATTCACAACAAGCCGTACGTTTTTTAGATTGGCGCATTCTTTTGAAAATCTTGTCAGGGCCCCAAAAATCAAGTCGGCTGAGATCAGAGGGGGTAATTCATATTCACCGGTGCCAATTGCTGGCAGTGAAACGGTATGGAATGATTTTGAATCGGCATGTTCCAGACATTTTTCGAGGCACATCTGAAGGTGTCTTGGTTCAGAGGACGCAGGGATAATATGTATAATGTGGCGCGCTTTCAACCTGCCGCCGCTGGTTATCACTACTGATCCCGCTTGTTGTGTTCCTAGTTGCTTGCACTCTTGCTTTGGACTCTCACCGCACACCCTTGCGATTGCCTTGCTAACTTCTCCAGCATTCTCCATGTCCATATCCGAATTAATGATATTTACAATCGCATCTGATTCCTCATTAGTCAGATCACCACGAACAACTTCAACGTTGACATACTGCGTTTTAATACTGCGTCTACACCCACTTTGAATGCCGAGAGATGCAATGTGTTTTTGCTCCTCGTTTTCTCCAAACGACTGTTGATAGCGGTTGAGTTCTTGCGTAAATGCATCTATCACTTTTTCATTTTTACGAAGCAGTATAAAGCGAACGTCTCTCACTGTCGTGGCTGGATTTTCTTTAAAAAATCTGATTGTTTCGTCCAACATGATTCGAGCAGCTTCCGCTGGAGGAAACTCCCGTTTTCCAGTTCCAATCGCAGGAAAAGCGATAGTAGTTCCCTTAAGCTTGTCAACTTCTTCAAGTGACTTTCGAACAACGACTCTGAGAAACTAAATTGGATTTAAAAAGCAAGAAAAAATTATTGACAATACAATTAAGACAATAATGTTGAGAAAAAACGTTTTATGTCACTCTTAGGCCTAGGCCAAACGTCGAACTTTTCATGAGGCGAACCAATTTCTAATCTGGGTCGACCTGAATTAAGTTTTAAAAGATCGTCTGTTGGGTCAGACGTCGAACTTAGGACGCATCAAACCAATCAACTAAGAGCAAAAAGGATTGTTAATAAATTTTCTCCCGAACAAAGCTCAATGCACGTTATCATATATAAATTGTTGATTTATTATAGCAAGTGAAGTCGCACGTGAAGATGATGATCGATGTACGTTTGTCCACAAGACGACCGACATACGTTCTGTCCGTCTGAAGCAGGGGGATAGAACGTGTTGGACGATCCAAACTCATTCAGACGAACTTAACTGGGCCAAACAAAGTTTTCACGATCTAACTGACTAAGTTTGGTTTGTCTCATGAAAAGTTAGACATTTGGCCTAGGCCTTACAATCAATAATACATGGAAGGTCTGTTCTTCACCAGAAAAACGTCTTTAAGAAATTGGTGATCTATAACTGTTCTTGGTTATTCGCTGGTTATCCTCACTTACTCCTTTTGATAAAAGTACAACTTTTACTAGGGTTAGTTAGATTTCTTTGGGTGTGACCGGAAATTGAAAGTTCATGTATATTTGAAATTGACTAAGACTAAGTTTCATGAGCTATATGGATGCTCGCTTCCACTCAGAATTCTTTGTTCTTCATAGAAGTTTCTGTGTTACCTAAGTCCTAAAAAGTTATGACTTTTTTGATAAAAGAAATTATCTTGAACAAACTTTGATCTGAACTATGTAAGTTATCAAGAAGCCGTGTCTGTGTAGATCAAAAAATTGCAAAATCTAACAATTGCCCTGAAATAAATTTTTGCTACCCCGAGTGCAAGTGACATTAATGTGCGGTTTCTGATTTCGGTCGCGGCCGACACCGAAAGATATATAGTGTGACAACATAACACCATTTTTTTTTGGTCTCAAGAGGTGGTCTAGAGAGTTAGAAGTTGTGATGCAGAAAGGGTGCAGCAAGGGTGCAGCCGTGCCATTAGACTGTTCACTGTTTCCTTTTTTCCCATGAGTTCGTAGTCATATTTTTTCGACTGTTTGAGGTTGATTTAAATTTACATTGATTTGCTATAGAGTTTTGCCCTTTTTTGGTTTACGTTTTTAAGCGTAGAGTTCGATGTTTAAAAAGATAAAGGCTACAACAAATAAGTTCTTCCTAAGCCTTGGTTTTCAAAGTGTCTTTCAAAATCGGTTAGATTAAAGGATCTGTTACACAAAAGATTTCTTAACGATCACAGTTCTTAAAACGAGTTAGTCTATTTGCGCTATGAAAACAAACTTAATCATTCAATCAGAATTGCTAAGAGGATATATTATGAAGAGACTAAGATAGAATAGGCCTGCCAAATGCACTTAATTTTGGCTATTACTGAATAAAATTCTAAACAAGAAACAGACTGTAAAAAAATTGTTGTCTTGATAAAGCGCTACTACGGCCAAATGCTTGAATATAGGCATTGAGTTTAAAATTGCATAAATAGCTATACATTACATCAATATAAGCTCACTGAAGCTTGAAACCCGTCCCCCATTTTTCAGTTGGCAAACTAAAACCCATGATAATTCTGCAAAGTGGTTTGTCAGAATGAGACTCGCAGTGACGTCAGGCTCGCATCGAAGATTGCACGTCGATAGAGCTTTCTCAGAAAGAAGTCACCAATTTTTGGTCCTAAATGCAAGTAAATGGTCATAGTACACAGGTAGCAGAGTCGCTTCGATCTTTCCTAGATAAGTCGGGAAAGCGGAAGCAACTCTGCCGACATCTTCAAACTCCTTTGATTTGCGGATCATCCCGCGATTTGGATGAGTCAGACAAGTTTCATACTGGATAACCCAGTTTTATCTGTGCACGCACTATCTGTGCACTCACGCGTGTTCTGGAGTTTTGCTGACTTTTCTGCGCCCACGCTTCATAAAAAAAAAAATGGCTTCCGCTTCAACTACACGCAGTAATTTTGAGAAAATTATCGATTCAACGTTCAGTAAACTGGGGCGGAGCGCTTGTCCAGTTTTGAGAAAAATTGGAAAATGCACCCGCGCGATTTGAGATGGATTTCGTTTTGGATTTAACCATCTGCTTAGCCGATGTTACTTGCGTGAACGGATCCACAATCCAGTAAGTTAAGTGTTACGTTTTTGGAAGGGTAAACTAACGGGTTTTTAAATAAAAATATTTAAGAAATAACTTCTATGTCTATTCTTTTGTGTTGCTCATTCATAACATTACTGCTGGTTCATTTTTCGGGTACTATTGGAAATTTATATGCAAATATGGTTCTGTAGATTTATAATAAAAAATCAGAAATTAAATAATTTTATAGCTTATTTGCACCTCAGTTTTTTGAATGAAAACTTCGAGAAGTCGCGTGGTCGCTAGTTCGAAAGCGAGGTTGACAGGATCGGTTGCATTTGAATTTGGGGTATGCTCAATATGAATTGTCTAGGATGTTGGCAGAGGATCCTTCCTTTTCCCGACTTATCTAGGAAGATCGAAGGAGACTTTGTTTGCAGGCTAGTAAATAGGTAAGCATATCCGTAAATTCTACCACCCGCTTTGACGGAAATATCTGGAGACAATTTTAGCGACGAACTTGGACTCGCCTGAGGATTTGGAGTTAATATGGCAATTCAGAGAAGACGCTCCAAACAGCCTCAAAGGTTGAAAGAGAGTATTGAATTTATTCACTCGATCCATACTTCAATTTTACAGCTGATTATGCTTATAAAATTGTCACATGCATTATCGTCGTGTGTATTGAAAATTGTGAAAATTTTATAAGCATATACTAAAAAAATAGCACTTATGTCCAGGTTTGCAAGCAGCTGCAAAAATTGCGATTTTTCGCGTGTTTGCAAAAAATCGTAAAAATCGCAAGGTTGGCGAGTTTTTGAAAGCCAGTAAGTTGCAAAAATTGCGAAAAATCGCATGTCTGACGATTTTTCGAGTTACTTGCGATTTTTCGCAGTTCTTTGTCATGATGATGCTCACTTTTCCCATGACCACTTAAGTGTAAAGCCGGTTGCCGATTTTACCAAATTTGCAATAAGCCGACGATTTTCCCCTTTATTTGCCATTTTGGAATTTCCCTGTGAGCGCAATTAAAGTATATCTACACGCAAAAACCGACGCAGCTCTTTGAATAAAGGTTATGTTATCTAGAGGTTCGAGTTATATTTGTGAGGTTCCACTGTATTTCAAATTTCATGTTATGCCTTTTTTAAACTATGAGTTTTTGAACAAGGGATCAAGCATCAAGCATCGTTCAGTTCAATGTGACAATGATTTTCAGTATTCCAAGAAGAATATGTGGTCGTTTCGCCCGAAAGTGGATTCGCCACCGGACTTATTAAAGTCGATTCGACCGATGACAAACAACACTCTACAGCACGGCTTATCAAAGATGTGTTTTGCTGGGATTATATTGCTGCCATTGCTAAAATAGGTCCAGCGTTCTGAATGATGTTAGCAATATCGACGATTGCTACGCCGATCTTGAATATATTTTGTATAAAGTCATAACAGCAAAATGTCGAAGAAGTGGCCTAACATCCGATATAGCCACACCGTGTTTTTTTCTGGTTAAGTATTATTTTCCTGCTAAGTTGTCTCCCTCTGTTTTGTTTCATGGCTTACGTGAGGATGTATAAATCTCAGTGAAACAAGCAAAAAAGCCTACTCAGTCTCTTTTCATATTCGATAAAATCAATCTTTGTACATACTGTCAAGTGTATATAGCTATAACATACCGGTGTCACTTCATTACCCCCAAAATTCTACCTATCACAAATGTTATGTATTTGTAGACATAAAAGATATATATGAAATATTACATATGAAAGAAGACGTTTTTGAACTGGTTTATTACAATAACTTTTCTAAAGTGCTCAACTTTTCAGAAGCAATAAAGTGATGTATAGCCCCTGAAGCCTGGAACTACATTTTGCATGATTGCATTATTAATCTCAGTTTATTTATCTTTCCTCTAGTATTGCATTGCACACTGTCAAATAGCGTTTCAATTTCTTTGTAACATATTGATAACTGAGCGAAGTAATTTTTTATATAAGTTATTATGTCCTTCAGGAGAAAATAGTTCATACAGAACAAGATTTTTATACTTTGCTTTAGGTATCAGTGAATGCCATGTTCTTATTTAGACCATCAATATCAAAGAGAACGCCTTGGCAAATCTTTTGGTCCATAATTCCAGACCCCAAACCCCTTGTATTATGGTTGCTACTTGTAGGGCCAGTCTACCTGATTCCCTTGAGTCAGAGGCTAGCTCACAGATCCCTACTCTTAGACTGTTAGACTGTAGTATTGTTAGTGATTTCTCTTAACACAACAAGTAAGAGGGCGAGGTATTGTAGAAAACATCAGCACTGGTCTGCCTGCATTACCGTAGTTATAGCAACAAAAATTATTTTAAACTGAAATTTTAACAGCTGTCGACGGCTACAACTCCCATTCTGTTTTTCAGCATATTTGTTGGCTGTCCTTTGCAGTTTAAATGTTTATTTGTAAAATGTTTTATTAGAACTAAAGTGCTTAATATTTAACAGTTTAGGAGTTAGTAAGGTATGAAAGGCTTGTGGGCGTATATGGCCTGTAACTGCTAAATGTAAAATACCTATATTTTTCTGTAAAGTATCCATTCTGCTGATATAGAATCAGGAGCTCAAGACAGAAAACAATATTTCATAGTTCTGACAGTGACAAATTGATTTTATTCAAATCTCAATATAATCAAGTGAGATTTGCTATATGCCATTATTTGAGAGAACCTTCTAATTGGCAGGGCCTCAGTTATTCTCTGGTATTTATGACTCATTCAAACAAACTATTCATCGGATAGCAGATTTCTAAGAACACAATTAAGTGACCACTGAACATGATCAGGCATTTAAGACTGCTCACATAACAAGCTGTGAGAGCGTGTAATGAGATATCAGGCAACATCTGTTCCGTTGGATACATTTGGTACAAATTCATGAAGAAAAAAAATTATACCATCCTGACTTGAAGTCCAAAAAATTTTCCGTATGCTCATTGTAACTCAGCATCCGATAAACTGGAAAAAGTTAACGAAAGAGCTCTTCTCTTCGTGCTTAAAGACAAAGGAAGTTTTTACACGGAATTATTAATAAGGAACTAGGAACTTACTCACCATACGATCAAAGAATCATGAAGATTGGCAGCTAGTCTTTAATTAAGGTGCTAAACAATGGTACCAACATTCCCTCAACCCTAAACGAATTAATACTGCAAAGAGCTACAACCTATAATCTTCGTGGTAAAGATATTATAACTATACCCAAGGTCAACTCTATAAAGCAAGGTTCGAAATCTTGGCGATACCTGGCCCCGAAGATATGAAATGCATTACAGGAAGCATTGAGATATGAGACTAAACTATGTAGCTTTAAAAATAACTTTAAAAGACGCTTGAAAAAAAAAATGACGTCACACAGTTATATTGATCTGTAAATAGTTTTATTTTTATCATTATTGAACTGCACATAGTTTTATTTTATTACTAACATATTCTCAGATTTTTATATTATAGGTAGATATTTTATATTGTATCTTAGTGGTTTAGTTTTTCTTTTTTCGTTATTTTTGTTTGTGGCAATACCTGTAAAATAGCGACACTTGTAATATTATACTGTAATGAGGTAAGTGTATTAATAAAGGTAACTTACTTAAGGTGTTTCGATACAGTTTTTTCGAGGCCATACCGATATTTTTCAATCGCCTTAAAAGTGGTTTTTTCTTTGTCTGATTGCTGTAAAAGTTTCACCAGTAATTGGCTATGGATTGAAATTTGTGAAAATGTAGTTTTCAGTAAAATCGATATTACTATGACAACAATAAACAAAAAACTTTGAAATTGATAAAAGCCGAATTTTGTATGATCTAGACCCGCTACTGAAAATCCAACACTAGGAACTTAAAGTTTGGTGTTTAGCAAACAATCTCCGTAAGAAGTAAAAAATTCTGTATGTTTGAATTCGACCAAAACGAAAAGATATTTCAAACCTTAAATTTTCAATAGCCGTGATAGATTATTTAATAAAAAAGTTATGAATGACTCAAATTATTCTTAAGTAGCGTCAGAATGCTGCTTAATATCATATTTTGATGCTAGGAAATTTTGGTGCACTTTCGTTCTTGCGATCTTGAAAACTAACCCGTTTTCTCAGCACCTGTATAAGTGCAACTTCATTCAGAATTTGGACTTTTAGCGCTTTCTTGTATATCTCCGAAACGACGCGAACGAACTTTTTTTAAATCTCTTCACATAATCTTCATAATGTATATAAAAATGTCTGAAACTTTCATTAAGATTTATTCAGTGCAACACGTTGAAATTTCAAAACAAACCTATCCTACGAACCGGTCAAAATCTGCGTTACAGTGCGCATTATTTTGGAAAAATTAGCATAACGTCAAAACAGTGAATGTCGTAACGCAGATTTTTGACCTGTTCGTAGGATAGGTTTGTCTTGAAATTTTAAGGTGTTGCAGTCAATCAATCTTAACAAACGTTTCAGACATTTTTATATACATTATGAAGATTATGTGAAGAGATTTTAAAAAAATTCGTTCGAGTCGTTTCGGAGATATACAAAAAAGCGCTAAAAAAGTCCAAATTCTGAATGAAGTTGCACTTATACAGGTGTTGAAAAAACGCGTTTTTAAGTTTTCAAGATCGCAAGAACGAAAGTACACCAAAATTTCCTAGCATCAAAATATGATACTAAGCAGCATTCTGACACTACCTAATAATTTGAGTCATTTATAACGTTTTTATTAAATAATCTATCACGGCTATTGAAAATTTAAGGTTTGAAATATATTTTCGTTTTAGTCGAATTCAAACATACAGTATTTTTTACTTCTTACGGAGATTGTTTGTTTAACACCAAACTTTAAGATCCTAGTGTTGGATTTTCAGTAGCGGGTCTCGATCACACAAAATTCGGCTTTTATCAGTTTCAAAGTTTTTTGTTTATTGTTATCATAGTAATATCGATTTTACTTAAAATTACATTTTCACAAATTTCAATCCATAGCCAATTACTGGTGAAAATTTTATAGCGATCAGACGTGGAGAAAACCACTTTAAGGGCGATTGAAAAATATCGGTATAGCCTCTGAAAAACTGTATTGAAACACCTTAAGAGCGGATGTCAGTAAATATCGACCAGAGGTCTACAAAACTGAAAAATCGAAAATTCTCAAAAAAATTCACAAAGTAGCACTAGCTAAGGTTTTAACACAAATGTACTTTTTACTTCGATCCGATAATTATTTTCTACGTACGGGGGGGTTATTGGTTTCGCGGCTCTCGGACCGGGTTTTCCAGGCCCGAGACCATGGGTCACAAAAAATCGTTTTAAAATTAAAATCCATTGTAATGCGGACAACAAATAACTTATTTAGAAGAGTACATAATTGCACACATTTTAAGTGGTGCTTTATTCAGTTTGAACGAAAATGTAATATTTTGGAGATTTTTCATTATTTTCAATATTTTGAACGTTTTCGTTCAATGAAAAAATGGCAAATTTCAAAGCCCCAAATCGTCGACTGGTACCTCGATTTCAGTAACGAGTCTTGTACCGCGTTAAAGAGCGTTATCTCTTCTTTCAAAATCTGTTTGCAAAACTATGGGCAACTGAAAAGAAAATTTTTAAGGCCAAAAAATACAAGTAGTACTTTACTGAAATTTGAGCTTTCCAGACTCAGCGGGCCGATGCTAAAAACTCAGAAAAATACAATAAGAAATCAGTTTGAGCAACAGTGGTTTAAAGTTATCAGCGGTCAGAAACCAACTCGTGTTTATCGAGCGATCTGATAAAATTTAAAGCCGTTTTCCAACAAGAAAAGCAGAGTTTAGCCATCTTCTGCTACCAAACGCACGAGTCACGTAAGGTTGTCAAAGGGCAAAGTACAATAATAAAACGTTTCTGCGTCCAGGAATTAGACTTAAGCGGTCAGAACAATACCTACGAGTGTATGTTTCATACCTTAGCAAAGGTTTCCTAGATATTGGAAATAAAAAACATCAAGGACAGCATCGGCAAGAGCATCTTCGGCTGCTCTCAAACGACGGAGATTGCGTTACTTTTCACAGATTGACCGCTTACCACCTGTTTTTGGGCTCGCATTTCGACGGAACGCTTGCCTCGAGGGGCGCGCGGCACGGATCTGAACTCTTCTTCACGAGTCATTAAACTGAATTTATCGGAAATATGCCACCACCAACAACAACACGAGCTTTTTTCGGGTATTTGTTGTTTTTTATGCGAAAAGTTCGGGTAAGCAGATTCACGCAAAAACCATTTGGCTTAAAAAATGTGTTTAAAAGCCCACCCAGGATTTGAAGCAAAAAGTATTTCCTCGAAATAAGCTTAAAAATACCCAATTCACGCGGTGAAAAAATGGATGATTATGGAAGGATTATCCAATTCTTGCCTAACCTGGGGAATTTCCCAATTTCCCGTTCAGTAAGAGCCGAAAAAAACAGCTTAAAGGAGGTGCACACACCTTGACCTAGCCAGGGAAAAGGGGCTTCTGACTGAGCTAAACTGTCATTGATGAACGGTGCAATTAGCTAGACCTGTTACTATCCCCCGCGCAACCACAGGAACAAGTCCAGCCATTTGGGCCCGGGGGTGGGGAGTACTTTGAAGCGGCCCTAAAGGGGACTTTCGGGGGTAGGGGGCAGGGCAAATCGAAAATGTTGTGAAGTACATCATTTCTCGAACGGTTGACAAGGTGACGGCGGACTCCGTAGCTGTGGAAAGGCCCTTTTGAAACATGTCCCGGCAACATGCAGGGCATCACGAAATTGATGTCAACACCCTGAATCAACTCCATGAACAGGGAGAGGCGATAAGTTCCATGTTAAAAGATGCTTGATGTATAGACGTGAATAGTCTGTCCACAGGTCATTTTTTATTTTGTATTTCGGGACCATTTGACTGCGCACGAGTAAACCGGAGCGCAGTAACGAGCCATAACCCCACCTCATTGCCCTTGCGGTCAATAAATCATCGCGTTTTTCATTTTTTTATGCGCGTTCGAGAACCTCCAAAGGGAATGTTGAGGGTCTTTGTACAGTTTCAGTTTATTTTACCGACAAAAAAAGAACAAAACAAAGCAAAAGACAAGTATACGGAAATACGCAGAAATAATGTGGTGAGGAAGCCCAAAAAGAAAACATAAGGCTTAGGTCATCCCCTTTTCGTTCGTTTAGCGTCGAATACGTTCCCTGGCGTTGGGTGGGTCGGTCGGTGGGGTGAAAAAAAATCACAAGAAATCTGAGAACAGGAGGCCTGAAACACCAGCATCATTGCCGTGGAGCCTGAAAACAACAAGACATGGTCACCAAATCGACACAAACTCAATATGGCGGAAAATGTAATGGTCAATTTCATTAAAAAAAAAAAAAAAGGCCCAAAAAGGGTAAAAAGCAAAAAGGATACACCACCGAACGTTTTATGCCTGGAAATGCTGTTATAATGCTGATTTTTTAGATTAAAAGAATTAATTTAAGTCCAAAAAAATAAACCTTGTCGTTTCTTTTTCTTGCTTTTTTAAAAAATGCCAAAAAACTGGGTCTGTTGGACGACACTAAACGAAGAAAAAATTTATATAGGTATTAAGCTCCCTTAAAGTATAAAATTATAACTTTACAAGGAAAGGATCGAACGTATACTGAGTAACTAAATTATAAAAAAAACTTGATCAAAATTAAATGAAAGGCTAAGAGTCTAAGCGTTGTCTGATAACGAAACGGTAAACAAGAAGTGCTGCCTCTCATTTAATAGAGACGTGAAATACTGGGTGGACGACATCCGAGCTCCCGCGAAAACCGCAAGAGAGGAACGCTTAGGGCTAAAGAGACTAAACAGGGGCGTAGCTACTTGTACGCATGGTTCGCACGTGCGTACCCGAAAAAGTTGAGGAGAAAAAATAGAATGAAATAAACATAACTGACATAACTAAAAAAATCGGTTTCCAGAGAAGCGGCGACATTAATTGGAGAACCGAATCTTGGATGATTTATTTATATAGCAAGCTTGATGATGTAAAGCGTGAACTCGTTGTTTTCTCCACGACCTGTCTTCGGAGTAGACGAAGTAAAGCACAATTACGTCAATGTGTGGTGCTTTTGTCGGTCAAAAATAATGTGACAAAAAGGGGTAAGAAGAGTCATTTGCAAACTAAAGTCGGAGGTACTAGAAGCTTGATTTTTAATAGCTGAATTAATGATAAACGGTTGACGTCAATGAACATAACAAGCCGACAGAATTAAAGAATTTTAGAGGTTGTGACATTTCATAAGCAGCAAAAATGCTTTTGCTTACAACCGTTAACCCCACCTTTAATAAAGGCACCTTAGAAAAATGTTGAGATTTGGGGTGGGGGGTGGGGAGGGGGGAACACGATGTAGACAAAGTTGGGCGTACCTCTGGAAAAATCCTGACTACGCACCTGCTAAAGCTTGAAACTGAACAACAGGAGTCTTGACGAAACGTCCTCAGTTATCATCTGTCCGGGGTCGTACTTTCAAGGAAGCGCTGATCAAGAATCACTCATGACGGAATGAAAACTTCTCGTAGCTTCCAGCGAGAAAAGGAGTGACAACAGTGGTAAGCGGTCGTTCTGTGAAATGTAACGCAATCTTTGCCGTTTGCGATCTTTCGGCGCTTGGATTTAAACGTTGTTGTTTGGTATGTTCTCCTGTGTGGATACTTAACATTTCTAATATATGGAAACACCATGCTAAGGTACGAACAACAGACATTCACAACATTGTTTTGTACGCTAAAATCTGATTTCTCGGACGTAAAACGTTTTGAATTTTAAGACTTTTTAATATTAGTGCTTTGCCCTGACAACTTCACGTGACTGGTGCACTTGGCAGGAGTTGACAGCTTAAATCTGCCTTTATTGATAGCAAACAGCATTAATTTATATCAGCTCGCTGTATAAACACGTCTTGGTTTCTGAAAGCTGATAACATGAAACCACTGTTGCTCAAACTGATTTCGTATTGTATTTTTCCGAGATTTTAGCATCGGCCCACCGAGTCTGGAAAGCTCAAATTTCAGAAAAGTACTACTTGTATTTTTTGGCCTCAAAAATTTTCTTTTCAGTTGCCCATAGTTTTGAAAACAGATTTTGAAAGAAGAGATAACGCTCTTTAACGTGGTATAAGACTCGTTACTGAAATCGAGGTACCAGTCGACGATTTGGGGCTTTGAAATTTGCCATTTTTTCATTGAACGAAAACGTTTAAAATATTGAAAATAATGAAAAATCTCCAAAATATTACACTTTTGTTTAAACTGAGTAAATCACCACTTAAAATGTGTGCAATTATGTACTCTTCTGAATAAGTTATTTGTTGTCCGCATTACAGTGGATTTTAATTTTAAAACGATTTTTTTGTGACACATGGTCTCGGGCCTGAAAAAACCCGGTCCGAGAGCCGCGAAACCAATAACCCCCCCGTACGTGGAAAATAATTATCGGATCGAAGTAAAAATTACATTTATGTTAATAGCTTACCTAGTGCTACTTTGTGAATTTTTTTGAGAATTTTCGATTTTTCAGTTTTGTAGACCTCTGGTCGATATTTACTGACATCCGCTCTTAATAGGCTTTAATTTTAGTAGGTTATTCCTCTCCAACCACTCTCCGACAAATTCCTGCGTTTTCCCTTGAATGTATACTTAGTCTTGAGTTCCGCACCTTTGTGCAAAGCACGCGAGAAATAACACGTACCTCGCAAAATCAAGGAAAAGTTGTTTTTGATTTGGTCCACCCCCCTACCCCCGGGACAGGACCGCTTCAAACAATTCCCCATCCCCGGGGCCGAAGGGCTGAAATTGCGTTGCCCTGGGGGATGGTAACAGGTCAAATTGAGCCACACATGAAATAAAATGGTTTCTTTTTCCGCCCGGCCACGAAAGCGAGCCATGATGCGAGTCTGACGTCACGTGCCTCTTGTTCCAACTAGTTCCAGATCTTTATGTGGTTCTCGGCCATTGTTTGAATCGAGTAATGGCGGCAAAGCAATCCTGAACTTTATCTATAAAATAATTGGTCTTTTATTGGAATCTTGACTTGAAATTGGGCGAGGTAAGTTTTCGTTACTTCCTCTTTCGAAAGCTGAAAAGAAAAGGGCAACCAAAATTTTGATCATAGTAGCACTTTAAGATTAACAACAAACGGTATCGGATCCAAGGTAAATCGCAGAACATTTTGTATGTTTTTTTTTTCTAATATTGACCCTAATCTAGATCATAATATTCCACCGCCTCCTCCTTCCTTGTTCCTTTTTATCAGGGAACTTTAGGCAATATATTTTGACACAGCATCTGAAAATAAAATTATTGAAATTTGTCTTGGCTTTCGCATTGGAACAGTGCGGGTTATGACAACGTTTCTTTGGATCGTGTTATGGATTGTATATATTTGATCTACCGCGCCCCTTAACTCGTATTATCGATCATTTCTGGAGTTGTCCGTGTTATTTCTTTATCTATTCCTTTATTTTTCAGAGTAGGTCCACGAATCCTATCGTTTGAAAGCTTTGATTACTTTGGAACAAGTGAATACTTCGGTGGTCGAAAAAAAGAATCATAATGAGCAAAACTTCGATGGTGAGGTTAACTGGTCGGGTGTAATAGGCTTTAATTGTATGCAAATCAGTATTGTGATGAGCATGTGGTAATTTTCGGCGATGATTGTAATGACGCTTCATGTTAATCACGTTTTTGCTCTCCGGCAATGACAATTTCTCGCGCATCGACGCCATTGATTTTCATGTATTTAAACACGCGTACTCAATCAATTCAATAAATACGAATACGATATAAAGAGTAAATATCCTGAAGAATACGTGACCATCGATAAAGTAGGAAGTGAAAAACTTTTCGCGAAGAAATTCTGTTTCGTGCAGAATTAATCGCCTCCTGATTTCTTATCTAATCTCCAAGCAAGCAAGAACTTACCACTTTTAAGAGCGTTCTTGATGATAATAGTATTCTGGATTTATTTAAATAAGCGTAAAATAACCTCTGATAATTAATTCGACTTTCGCAAACATCACTGACCACTGAATACGCCTTAACTCTTTTGTATGATAAGACATCTTATGCTATTGCATTTGATACCGTTAATCATCATATTTTATTAGATAAGTTAGCGAATTATGGTAACAGGGGGATAGCGTGCAATTGGTTTGCGAGTAACTTGAGTAACAGGCATCAGTTTGTTCAATTCAATGACGCCTATTCTTCTCTACACATTATTGAATGCGGTGCCCATCAAGGCTCGATATTAGGTCCTTCGCTTTTTTGATCTATATAAACGATTTATGTAATGTCTCAAAGATCTTAGATTCCATTCTTTATTGATGGTATTAACGTATTCTTTTCTCATAATAAAGTCGACTTTCTTTAAAAGACCTTGGATGAGGAGCTTTTGAAACTGATAGCTTGGTGCCAGGCCAATAAGTTATCAATAAATTATCCAAAAACTTTTTAAATTGCGCATAAGATTTCAGGGTCCAAAATTTTTCAATTCACAATATACATAGTACTGCTACCATAGCTTTAAATTTAGATTGAAAATTGGCTGATTCACCACTTCTAAATAAAACTTGGTTTTTATTTTTTTTTCCTTTAAGTGTGTTTTGTTTTGCTTAATTTTTATCCTAAATATATTTCAAAATGATTTCGCCTCTTATTTATTATATTATTCTAGTCTTAGGTGTGACGGTGTGCTCGTTGTGGGCTTTAAGGGGTGTAAATTTGTGGATTGGTACCCCTTAGTTTAGGGAGGGAGCTCAGGTAAAAAGCCCCCAGGGTTTCAATTTGAGCTTCCTCGCCAGATGAATACCTCTCGTTCTTCCACTTATGTAATCTGCGACATTTTTAATCTTTAACTGTCATTTATGTAATATATTGAACAACTGTACAGTTTTTTTTTTCTGGCAAATAAACAAACCTGAAGCAGAAACTAAACATCTAGCAGCTAGGGTTATAGATAATTATCCATGCCCCCTTCACTAACCTTCTCTCCATCTCCTCCTTTCCACTTAGAGCACTTCGTGAAAAAAATTTTTTTGCATGGCAGATTGAAACCTGGGGAAACAGAAACTTGTCCGTTTTTTAGATTTTCTGAATACGGACGCGCCGCAGGACAGGTGGTGGACAATACAGCTTTGGTACATTCTCCTCGCGGACAGACCACAGCATGAACCTAAAGATAAGAGAACAAAAATGTCTACTTAGAGTTTGAAAGGCCTTAGTTAATTCAAAATACAGTCCCCTACGTCTTGTTATAGGGGGGCTATTTTCAGATCCAGTGTAATTATCACTTCGACGCCGGTGGCACCAACTTGGCACTCCTAGCCTGAGTGTTTTCTTTGGGTTCTATCTGCATTTTTTTTGTCCCCCTCGTCTCTCACCTCTCCGTAATGGTAGGCAGGCTTAAATGGGAAGAAAGAAATTAGATTGGGAACTATCGAACAATACCGGCTCTCAGATACAGTCGAAGCTCTCCTAGCGACGACTCTCGTAAGCGACCAGCCAGCTAAGAGTCGCTGTGATGGGTATAGTTTTTAAGCAACTTAGTCTGGGATAGAGTATAGAAATCAGAGTGTTTGCCTTTAGAATAGGGAATCATATTCCAGGAAACTGATTAATTGGTCGAAAATTTTATTCTAGAATATGGAAACTGGGAATTGACACAAAAAGAAAACGGAAAATCTCTTTATCCGCAACTCAGTTTTTCAAATAGCGAAGAAAGCGTCGACCTCAGTGATCTATGGAAATTAAATAAACAAGCGACTCTAGTCCAGATAGGGAGATGTTTTGGAAGTCCAGTCTAGTTCAGGGTAGCAAAATTCAGTCGAGCTAGCCTTAGTATAGGCTAAGGGTTCCGGGTTGCCAACAGCACATCTCCACCCAAATCCTCACTAAAGCACCCCTCCCTTACGGCTTATCGAGCAGTGCATCTGCAGCAATCGTAACCAGTCGGCAAAATACACTCCAGCCTTTAAGGAATTCTCTAAGAGTATTTTAATGTACAGAAGGAAGGCTTTTAAGTTGGAACTACGTCACAAACACGTAAGAATTGGCCCAATCGAGAGACGCCTAAGAAGCCCGCCTATCAAAAACGCTCACCCTTGCGACTCTGCTGGATATCAGAACCGAGCTTTTGTGCACTAATTCGCAGACTATACTAATGGTCCAGGCGATGTATGAGCCGGCTGTAACACAGGCTATTTAATTTGCTGTTTTACAAATTGCTTGGACAAGTTGACGTTTCCTACTCAAAGATTGTGACAGGTTCTGTCTCCATTTCCTTTAGGATTAAAACTTACGGATCTGACAAACGCCAGTTTAAAACGACGGGAATGCACACCGAACCTCCACATTTTCTCAAATGCACACAATATCGATCATTAAAGTCTCTCGTTAGTTGAAACAAACTGAAAATAAACTGAAGCAATGTACCTTTTCGTTGACTATGTCTCCAATCTTGCAGGATATGGAACGGCCCTCAGAAGTTACAAAGCAACAAATGCCTTGCACGATTTCCGAGAAAAATTCGACTTTTATCACGCATTTATGGTTGTGTTCTACTGTTTTCATCCATTGCTTTCCTTTTCTGTCTTCTTCAACGTATTTTCGAAGGCCAGGCTGTCTTTCTTCAAAACACCGAAGCACCAAGCTGTTTATCAATTCATCTAGTTTAGTCTTTGCTAATTCAAGGCCTTTTCTTCGGCCTGCCATGTAGAGCATCCGATTCTCACCTTTCTTGAAATCGACACCAAATTCTTCCAGATTAGTTGCTATCGAAAGCAATTCCGCCTGGCAATATTCTTCAATGTACTCTCTGATGCTTTCCGTTCTGCAATCATAGTCTCCGTCGACCTTGCAATTTTTGCAGAGAAATTCTTGCAGCCTCTTAACCGCATTAGCAACTTTACCTGCAAAGCCAGTTACGACATAAATATTTTTGGAACTACTCACTTGAAGGAACACCCCTTCCTCGGAACGTAAATTGTTACAGAGCTCTAACCATTCAGCTGTTGTGGTCAAACGGAGATCACTATCGTCCACAATTACTTCTTTTTTAGCCACTAATTCTCGAATACAAGCAATCGCCTCTTTTGAATCTCCAAGGACTCTTGCAGACAAACCTTTTTCAGGTGATGTTTCATCAAAGAGAACAATAGCTTCTATCGCCTTCTCTTGAAATGTTTTTTCAACTTTTTCTAGAACCTCCTTTGTCTTTAAAAATTCTAAAACATAAGTAGAAAAATGGCTTTGCAACTCTTTTTGTTCTATCACTATCTCTTGCATTCCAAATGTTTCTTTTGCAGTGTCTACCTGCGCTTTAGGACCTCGTAACCGAACTTCGCCTTTTTCTTCGTCAAAATTTACGTCTACATCTTTGCACTTTGGCTGCAAATGTTTAACTTTAAAGTTAATCTTTTTAAGAAGAAGAAATGTGTCTTTCGGATTATAATTTGAAGCAAATGAAAATGTCTCGCAGGCATTGGCCGCTTCTTTTTTGACTTTATCCAATTCTTCATTCAAAGACTTGATATGTTGGCCAATGTCAGATATGTAGGACACAATCTGCAATTTCATTTCTTCTGTTTTATGAATTTTGATTATCGGCCGGTTAGTATTTCCCAGTTTAGAACGGATCTCGGGTAGTTTGGCTTTAACGCAATCCCAAAACACCTCTTCAATGGGTATATCACTCTTTTGTACGTTGCTCAGGAAAAAATATAATGCTTTTAAGCATTCATCCCTTTTCTGTTCATGGCATTCAAAATATGCAAGAACAGCTCCTGGTTCCCACTCGAAATGACTGATTCCCTTATCTTCCAGGAAGCCGTCAAAATTGGCCTTGTATTTTGAACTGTAGATATACTCCATCACGTCCGGGTCTACGGTGGAAGACGTGCGTTCAGTGGTCCTCTCCTTTTTAAAAGAATTACGCTCATCAGACTCATCACGTGGAGGATCTTCTGAAATAAGAATTAAAGAGGGCATATGATCAAAAAAGACCCCTCCATTGTTTTTTTTTTTTAACTCTTGACATGGACTGACTTAATGAAAATCAGTAGATCCCGCTGGAAAGGGAGCCTAGAACCAAGTAATCGGCTCCTGGTACAGCACATATGGAGGCTCCTAGTAATTGGCTCCTGCGTAAGGTGATTCACTTTTTTGTCATAGTACAGTGAAACCTGTATTAAGCGGACACCCTCTATCACAGTAGCCAAAGTCCCCAAATTTATTTCCCTTATTTACTTTAAATGAAACCTTTATTAAGCGGACGCGCACACCTAAAAAGTACCTAAAATGGTCATTTCTATTGTTACCAACCTGTATTAAACGGACACTTGTAATTAAATTCCACCCCACCCAACATGCCAGACACCGGAAATGCGAAAGACTGCCACTCACAAATTTTCCGATTTTTGCAATAAAAAACGTGACTTGACGAATTTATTTGATTAATTTCACAGTATAGTATTCTTTTCTATTTCGTTTTGTTTGTATAGAGCTTGTTTCACTCATCTGAGTTCTTCAAATTTGAGTTGCAATCTATGTTTATGGTACTATGATCAATTGGACCTCTTTAATTAATTCCTCGCGAAGCGAGGCGCGGAGCGCCCAGCGAAGTGAGTTTATAATCTCGTTCAGTGCGTGAACCTCGTGTGGGTCCTAGCGAGCAGCAAACTCGCAGCTCTCGTCTTTACTTGTATATATCCGATAGTGTTCGCCATGAAGTCATACAGTAGTTTGACGTCACGGCGCATTTTTGTTTCTAGGCAACATTCGACTGAAAGCGATTATTCACGAAGAGCTTTCTTTTCATCGTTTGCAAAACAATGTTTACTATCGGTGAATCTCAAGCTATTTCTCATGCAAACAGAACAGCAAACACAAGAACGCCAAATTTTCAATACTCGCAGGGGAAGATTTGACACCGAAAAATCCTCTGGAGCGAGAACGTCGACTTGAAATTCTTATTCAACGGCGCAAGCAACAAAGATGGAGACAGCATCAAAAAACAGCGGAGCAGAGGGAACATCACTCAATGAATGTCGAATGCTAAAGTACTTTACGAGCAAATGGAAGCTATTTTGGATAATTAGCCTCAACATATCAGCGAACATCGCGGTAACAAAACACGCTTTGCTCGCAGACGAGCTTATACCGTATCGGCCTAGACTGTTGGGCTTCCATTCTTCACATGTAAATGCGATGAAATGCATCTACGTTGGGGCAGGTGGTGTGCGCACTACGGTTGCGATGCATTGGATCCGCCACTGCGCATGACGGCGGAAAGTTGACCCGGGTAGGTGAGTTATCCCTAGCTGAGCGTTTACAAGGCAGGTGGCAACACTAGCAGTGTTCAAAATGGCAGCCAAATTTGTCAATGTTTTGGAGTCGGAAATTGATCAATTTAAAAAAAATGCGGTTCCTCAAAAAGCAAAAGATGCTACAAAATTTGGAGTCAAGCTATTCAAAGATAGGTTGATAAAATTTCTCTTTTGCAAGTAACACAATTTACTGTATGTTCGTTTACATTTTTCCGTTCAAAATGTCGGCAACTTTTAGTAACTTTTGCAAATATTTTGTCCCACAGAATGGTTTCATCAGCAGCAAGAGTTCGCAAATGAAATAAAAAACATGGAAGTCGATGAATTAAATAAATGTCTGGCAAAATTTTACGTTTCCGTGAGGAAAACCGACGGCAGCTATTATAAGAAAACTAACTTGTAACGCTGCACAGAGCCGCCCTCGACTGACATCTTAAAGTCCCAAAATCTTTCAAAAATATGCCTCTTTTTTACTTTATTTTCTTGAATAATCACCTTGACTTCTTCTCGGTGACTATTCACCGATGTTCAGGTCGCCTGAGGCGACTAATTTTGAAACAGCTAGCCACCAACGACACACTGACTCCAATAGACAAAACAGTAACACAGATAACTCGACCTTCTGAACATTTCGTTTTTGATATTTCAGTTACTGTCCAATAATTAATTTTAATTTGCCGTTCTGTTTTTGTCATGGACTTTATATATTGGTTTCCCACATGCAAATTAAATTCCTATCGGTTATTATTATCGTCAAGAACCATTAACGTAAATTTTTATTACCGGAAATAAGTTAAGAAAAACAATTTGCTAAAAAGTTGTGTGAGATGTGTAATCAATGACAAATTGATGGATAATCATTAGATAATCGACGAGTAATCGAATGCATCAATTCATAATCGATGACATCAATGAGTAATCGATGTCATCGATTTGTAATCGAAAGGCAGCAAAAATTTTGGCCATCGACCTTTTACAGTTTGCATCTTACTTTTATGATTCCATTCATATTTCACATCCGGGCAGTATCAATGAAGTTGTTTGTCTGTATTGTAGGAGTCCTTGCTACTACAACACTTTTTGAGATCAATCTACCAAGGTAGTATCTGGTACACAAGCCTGCAGTCCGCCGTTTAAATGGTGCCTTCGCCCAACGGATGGAGCTAAATGGTGTGAGATCGATAAGAAGTGGAAATCTCTCTGGATCTCACTCCCAAAAACATAAAAAGCCTGTATCGAGCTTCTGAAATGTGGCTGCAAACAGGGATGTTCTGGCATACGCCAAAGCCAATCTACCTTGTACAAGCGTTTTGTCAAAAACACTTCAAATTCCTGTCGTGTCCCAGTCTGTAAGGCTTATTTTTATGATCTCACCTGTGCTAAGCCTTCCCCCGGTAAACCAAAGTGAACGCAGAAGTATTATCTGTCTTTTACACATTGAGTCCATTAAACTCGCTTGTAATACTAATACATGGCACTAACGTCTTCAGTGATATATCCCCCTACTAAAAAGTGGTAATGAGTATAAAAGACCGTGAATTATGTCGTAACTTCGGTTATTGCTTTGGAAGGTAACTAAACCACGCCAGAGATGTTTCATTTTAGTAACAGAAACGAATATTAGTCAATAATAAAAAGCAAGTAAGTGTTAATTTCAAGCTTACAAGATATTGGATTTGTATGCCTGAGCCAACATGCGCAGCAAGTCATCTGGGTCAACACCTTGTCGATATTTGGCAGGCATCACTGTCCCTCCCTGTACTCTCTCCATTCTCCCACTAGTTCTCTAAAACAGGACAGTGAAGCCTGCGAAGTAGGCTAGGGCAAAATGAAATTCTAGCTGCTAAAAATGAACCTACCTTTCTTCTACTGCTCCTCTTGTTCAACCTGGGAAAAACAGCCTCTTTCAGAATTTTGTGTGCAAATAGGATCACAATTATCATGATTATCACCATGACCATCACTGTCGTCTTCATTGTAATCACTTCCAGCAGAAGTCTCATCATCTTTGTCGCCATCAGAATGGTATTCACTATTTCTTTCATTGCCACTTTCACTCCTGTTAAAGGAACGATGAGAACTAACACTGTCTGAATCAGCTTCACTACCACTAACGCTATGCTGAAGACATTGTACCAGGTCCTTGTCTTCTTCGTCACTTGTTCCACTTCCAGCCGAAGCACTTTTCGGTTCCGTACGGTCGTCCTCACGTTCTTCATCTCCACTGTCATCTTCAAAGCTATCATCGTCATATTCTCCTTCAGCAACGACGTTTCTGCTGCTTACAGATAAAGCACCACCAGCAGCTGCTAAAGTGCTATTCGCATCTGAGGGGAATTCCTCATCAATTTCTTCCACAATTTCTTCTTCAAAGTCATCATTGTCGTATAAGACAGAACTGCTTTCATCATCACTTTTCAGATTTTCTATCTCAGTGATGTCATTTACGCTCTCCGCTTCACTGCTAGATGAACTCTTTTCTTCTTGCTCTTGTTTGCAAAACACATATTCATTTGCACCTGATAAACCTGAACCAAAGCTACCATTGCCTCCCGTACAAGCGGCTTCAGAGGCATAGTCGCCGCTAAGAACAGTAATGGCTCTGCGAGCCGGTCCAAATTGTTTTCTAGGCTGTGACTTGTATTCCACCGATGAATTTGTAAGACCTGATTTCAAAAGGTAAAAAGCAAGTTACATTACTAATTATCCTCTGTTACAGTTGAAAAATACATATTTAAATGGTTTGCATTTGTGGGTAAACGAAGATAGTTTTAACAAGAGGCTTATTTCTCTAGTCCCCCACACAGGGGTGTGGTTGGAGTCGTATTTCCTCCCTCTCACTGGGGAGAGAAGAAAATGAGCAAATACGACTGCCAAAAAAAAATGCCTGCGTGGGAGGCTATTATTTATCTAATAAAAAAATATAAAAGGAATCCCTACTTCGCCATTAATTCCAAGCACCTGCTAGGCAGGCTAGATTTAAAATAATCCTCTTAATGAAAAATATTTTTAAGCAGCGTTTGATTGCTTGCTTGTGTGTTTGTTCTGTTTAACCCATTCTATTTGTCTTTCTCTACCATCTATGCACCTAAAAGCAACAAGTTGAAAACATATATATGTTTTTGAAACGAACATTAACAGAGTTCGGGTGCTCAGGTATAGTAAGGACTGGGTCATCTGAAGGACGTAAAAAAGCATGAAAAAATGAAAGGGGATGGTCTATCTCCATAAATATGCAACGTATTGACACGAAACTTACGTGAGAGCTTAAAAGCGTTGTAGAGATTAAGTCTCATTGAAAGTTACCACAAAATTCTGAAAATAAGCCCCGGGGCTTATATTTTTCAAAGGCCCTTTTTGAGGGGCTTATTTTTGGAGGAGGCTTATATTCGAAGGGGCTTATCTACGGAGGAAAATTTGCGTTTCAAAATCGCTTGGGCTAGCCTTATTGTTGGAAGAAAATTTACCGTTTCTACTTTGTTTTACCTTGTATTCGAGGCAAATTTTCAAGTACAAGCCCCCAGGGGGGGCTTATCTTTGGAGGGACGATTTAGCGGAGGGTTTTTTGCGTTACGAGTTTGGGGGCCTACATTTGGAGGGGCTTATTTTCAGAATTTTACGGTATCAAGATAAGGATCACGTGACTCATTAAGGTAGCCAATTAACTTTTTTAACTTCAGGCCATCTGCAGAAGAACTTATACACACTTATCTTAACAAACACGAAAAGTGTTTTGCGTATCGTGTTGTTCACGAAACTTGCATGTCCAGGTCACGTGGTCATTGAAATGTAACGATTTTCTGTCACGTGACAGCTATAAGACATTAATCAAGGGTAGGCATACCATGATTCCAGTTACATTTGGAAAGTACTTTATATAGGTAAAAACGACAGCAATAAAAATTGCTCACTAAAAGTTCTTTTTACCCTGCCCGCAGAATCCTTACAGAAAAAATAAGGAAGTCAAGCGTTACTTGGTCACGCAACACGTTACCATGGTGATGTCAATCTCAAAAATACTATCTTAACAGGGATAATGCATTGACTACATCTCACCCTTGCCACATATTTTCTTTTGAAGATAGACCATCCCTTATATTTTCGTTCCAAAAAAGGCAGACCCAGCCTTAATATCCCTGAGTGGGTGACCTGACACCTAAAAACGAAGACACCCGCCTCCTCCGTCTCAAAATCACTTGAAAACAGTTTGAAGCGGCTACAGCAAGGGAGGATAAAGCTCAGTAAGTTAATCCTCCATATAGCCCCTCTACCCATCGAAATCCTACTAAAGTTATTTTTAGAACGCATCCGGTTACCTTGTGACCCCTGTTAAAAAAAAACAAAAACGACTAAATCAATGAATTCACACCAAAAAACACACGAATACATCAAAGGCGACTCTCCTTTATTTACTTTAGAATGTAATGAGTTAGTAAATACACACTCGGTGATCTTGATGATTTTTAAAATTTAACTAGTGGTCTATTATCAATGCTGCGTTCTGATTGGTTGAGCTAGTACCAGGCTATATGTTATAATAAACCATCTGAAAGCAATGGTCACATTACACAACACTGCGGAATGGCCAGTACCTTACGCATACGCACAGCCATATCACCCCGGCAGTGGCAGCCATGGACCGCTGTTTCGCCCTTATTGGGGCTCATCGGCATGGCATAGCCGTCTGACCTCTGCACGGCCAAAGCCGTCTTCAGAAACCCTTTACTACTCACTGGTAGCGAAAAGCGTGGGGTTTGAAAACCAAAACAATGGCAGCTGAATCGCGTTTTTCTAGATAAAGATGTTTTGTCTCGATATTTTTTACCAACAAAAGTTGGATTTCACTAAGACAATTATTCCTCTCGCCCTCATGGCCTCTGAGTCAATAGTCTATTCGGGCTTCTTCGTCACGAGCTATTGACTCAAAGCCCATTCGGGCTCGAGGAAGAATTGTTAAATATTCACCTCCCAGCGAGTGGATAATGTTTGAGCTCGATGTTTTTCCTGCTCTTTTAGAAAACGACCTTTCAAAAGTCGACAAAATCCTAGGGTTGTCCTTTTTTAGGCAAGAAAAAACTTTGAAGGATTCAAAACCTCAAAACCTTTTTTTTTCATTTTTTGCTCGATGCAACGTTTACAACTCCCTTTTATTCGCGGAGAAGAGGCCGTTTTTTTTAAGTCCTGAGCGTTTCCTAAGTAACAAGTAACACTTTGCCCAAAAAAACGTTTAAATTAAGTTGAATGCAAATGTTTGCAGAAATTCTACGTTTCAAGTAAAGAGGACAAAGAATACTGCAGGAAAAAGACACGCCTTACCTCGCACAACCTAGCCGCCATGTCGGCACTTAATAGGAAGAACCAAACAACAAACCCTATTGGTTATAAACTTGGCGAGTTAACAGAAATTAACAAACCTCTACTTTTCTGCTCAGGTAAGAAAAGAGTTCAAACTTGAAAGGGTTTGTTTGCGAAGTGATGAACAAAGAATACTGCAGGAAAAAGACACGCCTTACCTCGCACAACCTAGCCGCCATGTCGGCACTTAATAGGAAGAACCAAACAACAAACCCTATTGGTTATAAACTTGGCGAGTTAACAGAAATTAACAAACCTCTACTTTTCTGCTCAGGTAAGAAAAGAGTTCAAACTTGAAAGGGTTTGTTTGCGAAGTGATGAACTTGCGAATGCCGTGTTTTAAAATTCTGCAAAGACCTAACTTTCGCGCATGCACGTTACATGCAAATTTTTCACGCATGATTTGATCCGTCAATCAAATCGTACTCTTCAATGGTTTCCGTTCTGATTCTTTAGAGATCACTCAGCCTCTTTCTAAGTCGTCTGGCAACTCAGAGAGCGCTAACTGGCCTGGTACGAGGCTAGAGATCACTTCGTGTGTATAAACTAATTTGAACAATCATTCTCTTCAATCTCGGTGAATAGTGGCTTTAGAAATATTCACCTCGCCACTTCGCGGCTCGGTAAATATTTAGCCACTATTGACCTCGATTTCAAAGTCTGAAAAGAATAATTGTTGAATGTAGCTATGTCTCATACGTCTTGTCCACACGTATCTGTTTTCATTTGAAAACGCAACTTTTTCTTTACGGATACAGCTTCCGTCCACACGTATCCGATGAAAATGATCAATGAAAACGGCTTTTCGAAAACGCTCTACACAGTGGAAATTTTTGAAAACGTTGTTTTGGCATGTACGTGTGGACAACGAAAACGGAACTTTTCGACAACGCTGAGGTCACACTAACAGTTCCAATCCACTACGTGCAATATTAGAAACTTATTCAAGATGGCAGGAAGGGCGCTTCCCTTTCTTGTCGTTTATACTTGGGCTTATTTCAAACCTAATTGCTTGTTTTTAAGCCAATTTAGCTTTGTTAAATCTTCAAGCTGAATATTCCAGGAGGCGGCAGAACATTATCAGGTTACTTTCGCTACCGCTGTCAAAAGGCATACGTATACGTGACGCATATAATAACCACAGTTTGACTGTCACGAGGAGTGAAGTGGGTCATTGTTTTAAACATGGCATTGTCCTATCATAGCGAACACGTATGCGTCAAGCATGCGCAATCGGGTAAGTTATCGTTTTAAAATCGATTCGGCGTATACGTGTGGACGGGCGAATTGGAAACGGAGAAAATAACTTGTGTTAACTTTCAAACGAATACGGACCGGATACGTGTGGAAAGGCCTTAATGGTCGCCTGTAACGCGACACTGTCTGCCTTGGGAACTTGGGACGTCTGTTATTTTCTTGAAACAATTTTAAGTGTTTTTTAAAGTTTTATCGTTTCAGCTAAGTAACTTTTTAATAAAGATTTAAGTAGTTTGTTTTGTTTTGTTTTTTTTACAAAGTGCATGTATCTGAAAAGCTACATGCGTGTAGCTTTTCGTCCATGAACGCGATGATGATTTCCTGCTGTTCTGCCGTATGCTATAAGACGCCAGACGCTCTTTTGTGTACCGTTCGAAGGATGTTGAATTCTAATTTGTCGCTTTAAAAAAAACCGAAGCAAGAATGAAAACATTCTTCAGGCGCTGATAAAGTCCATTTGTTTTTCTTGATATAAGTGGGTCTTCAGACTAGAGCGCGATGTCCTATAGTTCCCTCGCCATTAATGTATCTGAAGCAGTCTCTGTGACTATATGTACTTTTTCCTTTATAAGTCGTTAAGCACTTACTACACAAACTTCCTTGAAGTTACGTTCGTCCACAAAACGTATGCACGAGTCGTTACCCTATGCAGAGCTGCAGTTCTCTTAACCTATCTTACGTCTTTTACCGACAATTTGATTCGCGAAAGAGGCGAAAGGCGTAGGCTCGATTACCAGCCCCTGTTCGGGAAAATGAGCCTGCACTCAGCCTACGAAAGATATTGCCGAGGACTTCGCCCAGCTGTCAACACTGGTACCCTCTTAGGAACAATGGATCTCGAAGAAGATCTAAAAATACCGTCTCTTTAAAGGAATAACAATGGTTATAGGGCCTACATGGCCAGGATAAATTCACTGAGCTTTATCCTCTGTTGGCTACAGTGGGACCTTTATTCAGGGGACATCCTCGGGACCTAAGCGAGTGTCGCTTGAGTAGAGGTGTCCCCTGAATGAATGTTGGACTGAGGTTTGTTGATAAGTAAAAAACAAAGACAATATCATTAACTTATTTTTGCGACATTAAGTGAAATAGTCCACTTTGTTATTAGCGTATGTACTCTTAAAGTTATCAACAAGTCACGTTTTGAGTGCTAAAGTGTACGCTGAATGACGGTCAAACTAAGGTTTCGGGACCCAGAAAACGTGTCCCTTTCCCCTGAATAAATATGTCCTTTCAATAGAGGAAACCGAATACAATGATTATGTGAATGTTTTTCTTTTTGTGTCTCCTGAATGGAGGAGTCCAATAAATAGAGGTGTCCCAGAAGAGAGGTTCCACTGCTTGATCTCGACTTGAAATGTGTGCTGAGAAACAATACGATGTTCAATTATCGATGAAATTGGCCTGGGCCATAAGCTCATTTTCTCTCGTGGTTTATATTCACTCAATAAAATCCATCATTAACTTATTTTTGCGACACTAAGTGAGATAGTCCACTTTGTTAAAACAATTAAACTAATACGATTGCTGTTATACCAACTGATAATCTCACAAGGTCTTTTCCATTTTCATTTGAACCGCGAAGACCACTGTTTTGCCCTGTTTCATCAAACACTATTTTTGAAATGAGGATATATGTAACAGACTCACTTGGAAGACCTGTAAATTTTAAGAAATTTATTGGTTTATGACTTTGATACTTCACTCTATGTAGTATAATTCTAAAGATAAATGATGAGACAATCGAAGTTTAAAATGAAACTTGACCCTGAATTGGGGAGATTTACAAAACAACATATTTATGGAGAAGGAATGATGGATGTTTTCAAGTCGTTTGGAAAGGCAATGTTTTGAAAGACAATTAAAAAAAACTGCTAAAAAAGGCGCTGAAAACGCCGTCACAGCAGCTGCTACAAAACCTGGAGAACATGCTGGTAAAAAGGTTGGTAATAAAATAGTTAAGATGTTATCAAAAAGCGGTGATAAACCAAAAAAAAGCTCCTTTTAAACCAGTTCCAAAGACAACTCAAGAAGAAATAGATGACAAGTTGTCCAATCTTTTAAGTGGTGGAAAAATTCGCAAGAGAAAAATCATATAATTATTAAAATAAATGAAATCTTTTAGAAACCAAAAATATCTTGAGAGATATGAAGATGTTGTTTTTGACCTTCAACAAGCTCTTAGTCAAACAACAGTAGAAAATACTATGGCACAAACAAGAAATGTACTTAGATTTGTTGTTGATAATACAGGAGAAGCCACACCTTTTGATTGGTATAATGCAAGGTTATCAGTTGATTTTAAACTTGATAAATTAGCAGATGGCGCTGCACTTACACTAACAAACCAAATTGTTTTAGTAAACGGTTCACACTCTTTTATAAAAAATTAAACATTTCTGCAAATGGTAAAGAAGTTTACAGTTGTGATTATGCATATCATTGTGTAAATATTAAAAATTTACTTGCGTTTAATCAGTCATATGTTAATAGTATAGCCAGAAATGAGTTTCATTATCCAGACTCATCAGCTCATGCTGAGGAAAGACCTGCCCATGCAAGCAACTTACAACAAAGGATTTCATCAAAGAAAATTAGTACTTGGAACAACAGGTGAAGTAAATTGTGAAATTCCTCTTAACAGATGTTCTTTCTTTGAATCACTACAGGAGAAATTACTTCCAAATACAAGAATTCACTTAAATATTGAATTTGATAGCGATAATAATTTAACTTGGCCATCAGATGCCGGTGCTGAAGACGCAGGAAATAATTATAGATTTACAGTACAAAAAACTTCGTCTTTTTATTCCAAAATTAATTTTTAATTCTGAAGGGCAAAAGTTATACATGGATGATTATCTTAAACCATACAAATGGGTTTGTTTAAATGAAGTAATACATCCGTCAAATATTTCAAGATAAAAGACAGGTCATTTAAGAATAACAAGTGGCATTTTAAAACCAAGGCATGTTTTTGTTTTTCTAATTAATAATGAAAAAATTAATAAACAAAAACAAAATCAATTTATTTATAACACTTTCAACGTTGTTAACAATCAAAAATTAGTAAGTTGCTATCTTGAGGCTGGAAATGGAAACGAATATCCAGATATTCACTATAAACCAAAGGAAGATCCATCAAGAGTTTGCAGAGATGTAATGTCATAAGTTTACGCCAATAATGATTTTCAAGGAGGAACATTACTTAATGGAGCAGATTTTAAAAATGTTTATCCCTTCGTTTACTTTGACCTGACAAAACAAAAAATTGACATTAAGGATGGTGTAACAAATCTGGCGTTTCATTACGAACTAGAAGATGTAACAAATAATGATTACTTTATCTACGCTCTTGTTCTTCATGAAAGAGAAGCTAAAATAGAACAACAAGGTGGAAAACTTTTGCTGCAGGCTTAATATAGTTATAAAAATAAAATGAAATCCTTTAGATACTCAAACGACATTGATAGATACGAGGACGTTATTTTTAACCCCCAACAATCTCTAGATGTAGCACCAGCAAATAATAATTATCAAAACAGATTCATGTTAAAATTTATTGTTAATAAGGAATTTACTTCACTTGATTGGTATAACGCTAGATTATTAATGGATTTTAAAGTAACAAAATTAAATGGAAACAGAGTTTTGGTTAATGACAACAATGGAATTATAAATGGTTCAAATTCATTTGTTACGCTAATCATTGTGTAAATATTAAAAATTTGTTTGAGTATAATCCCTCTTACGTTAATAGTGTTGCAACAAATGAGTTTTACTTTATCGACACATCAAGTCATGCGAATAAATTTAGATTTTTAACAAGGCAAGTTCAACACGGACGAAATGATCCAAATAATGGTTGTAATATCATGGGTGACAAACTACTCCTTAATTTTGGCGCGAAATTTCAGCGTTAATTTATAATTTCACTTGTGAAATTACAAAATTGCCATGGCAACCGTTCCGAAGTAGCCAAAATGGCGTCCAGGTTTGAAGATGTTACAGATTCTGATGTGGCGGCATTAAAAGACGCTGCAGAAAACATGAACACCCGTAAAAGCACAGTTAACTGGTTGAGAGTTTTTGAGAACTGGTGTGATGAAAATGCCCTCGACAAAAGCGCTGAGAAGCTTCCTCCTGAACCGCTGGATAAAGTTTTTGAGCTGTTTTATGCCTCTGTCCGTAAACAAGACGGAACCGACTACGAACCTGGCTCCTTAAAAGTAATGCAAGCAGCACTTGACCGCCACCTGAAGGAGAAAGGGTACTCTTTGTCAATTATAAAGGACAGAGAATTTTTGAGTTCTCGAAAAGTGCTAGAGGGAAAGGCGCGGAAGCTGCGAAACGAAGGTAAAGGAAAATTGCCAAATAAGTCACGAAGCCTAACAAGAGAGGAAGAAGAAGTGCTGTGGGAATGCGGACAGCTTGGAAATTCATCTTCAAGGTCCCTCCTTTACACAATGTGGTGGCTCCTGTCGCAGCATCTTGGTTTACGTGGCTGCCAAGAACACTACACAATGAATGTGGAGGATTTCACGCTTAATAAAGACGACAACGCTAACGAGTTCATAACATTCGCAGAAGGCCCCACAAAAACACGGCAAGGAGGATTACGACTTCAACCAAGGTCTGTACTACCTAAAGTGTTCGCAACTGGCGACTCACGATGCCCTGTCGCACTTTTTAAGAGTTACCTGGCCAAGAGGCCTGAAGATTTAAAGTTATCTGGCCCTTTTTACTTGGCGTGCATTGACAACCCCACCAAAACAGCTGTCTGGTACAAGAAAAGCCGAATGGGTAAAAATGCTATTAGTAGAATCATGTCAACTATGAAAGAAAACTCACCCTTACAGGGTGAGGGGTGAGGGTGCTGGGTAATTTGTGTCCAGACAAAAGATTGTCTAACTACTCGGTCCGGAAAACTGTGTTGAGGAAGCTAAAAGCCAGAGGAGTCCCAAAATCCGAAATAATCACAATAACTGGCCATCGACAAGAACAGAGCGTGGAAGCATATGACTCCGGGAACGAAGAAGAGCAGCGTCAACTATCTAACATCATTGATGGCAAAGAACCCCAGTTCAACCAGACAACCAGCCGAGTTCCACTTCAGCCGCTTATTCAGTCAAGTGCAGCGGTTAGCAGTGGCCATGTATATAATTTCCACAATTGTAATGTGGTGATAAACCAAGGACAGGCTTACGCGTCGTCTTAAAAGCCATCTTCTAACACCGAGCCGTAAGCTTCAACAATTTTGTCCACATTGATTTCCAGCTATTCGAGTGACTTATCGCTCTTTTGCCTATATTATAACTTGGCCTGTTTGCTGTTTGTTATTAACAGTCTGAAAACATTTTCAAACACTGACATTAACTGGCATTTATAGCTTTAGCGGATTATTGATCGCATTTCACCCGGGCGGCGTTTTCAAGTTCATTCATGAATTTTGGCCAATCATGAACAAAGAAGGGAGACGTCGGTTGATTTAACTTTGAAACATTTGATGAAAAACAAAAATGAAAAACAAGAACAGTTTAAAGGGCTTTTCCAAGTTGTCTGTACATTCAGAAAATTAAAACTTTCCGCACGGTACGCTTGGAATCCTTGGACTTTTTCAATACAATAAACAATTTAAAAAAATCGCTTCTTGTGAACGTAATTTGTCACCCAAAATATTAATAGGTAATCAAATGGTGAACTCGTGAAATTAGGAAATAATTTCACTTGCGTTTTGTCCAAATCCTAATAAAATTGAGTTAGATATTGAAATCGAAAGTGATAATAATTTAATTTGGCGTAAAGGTGGTGATGTTTGTAGAATTATAATTACAAAACTTCAATTATTTGTTCCTAAAATTATCTTTAACTCGGAGGGATTAACTACAAAAATATCTTGGTCTTATCTAAACGAATACCTGGTAAATTCTTCAAATCTAAATCAAAAAGAAGGAAATTTTAGAATAACAAACTCAATTTCAAAACCGCGTCATTTTTTTATTTTTATTGTAAATACCAAAACCCATTTTTGTATAACACTTTTAACGTAGCAAATGTGCAACAATTAAAAAGATGTTATCTTAAAGTAAATGAAAAAACTTATCCCAACATTCATTATAAACCATCCACAGAAATATCAAGAGTTTGCAGAGATGTGATGTCATATATTTCAAATAATATTTTTTAAAGCGGAAATTTTTCTAAATAGAAATAATTTTAAAGATTTATTTTCATTTGTATATTTTAACCTGACAAAACTTAAAGATATTGAAGCACAACTTTCATTTCATTAGGAACTGAGTGGAAAACCAAACGCTGATTATAATATTTACGCCATTGTTTTACATGAAATGTTATATAATGCTTAAGATAAATGACAACTTATTTTGAATACGGTGGAAGTTTGACAGATAATCAAAAGTCAAAAATAGGATCTGCAATAAGAAATAAATCACCACTAACTCTTCGATTAAAACATTCACATCTTCGAGGTTCTCATGAGTTAATGCTGAGAAAAAGACAGATTGCAAGGATAGAAAAATCTACTGCAAATGGAACTGGAACTGATATTAAAATAAGTAAAACACAGATTGGAAAATTGGTAAAGCATGGAGGAAACTTATTTACATCACTTGCATCTCTTGCAGCAAGAGTACTACCTTACGCGGTGAAAGGAAACCCCGGTTGCTGCATTAGCAACCGGGGTTGTTTCTGCTCTTGGTAGTCTTGGAATTGAAAAGATGTTTGGAAAAGGAATTTCTATTCCAAAAAGATTTATTACAATGTTACCTCCTTTCAAAAAAGAGTTTGCAAAAGCTCAAATAGACCAAATCAACAGAGCTTATCAAACAGGATGACGATTGGTTATCAAACCAACAAGAAAACAGATTGAAGGAGGATTTCTTGGAACACTTACTTCAATCGGAATTCCAATGGCAATCAGTTTAAAAGGTGTGAAATATCTGTAAATGGTAATCGATGTATTTAGCAAGTATGGTTGGATTAAACCTTTGGCAGATAAAAAAACTGAAACTGTTAGTAAAGCATTTGATGAAATATTCAAGAGAAAACGTAAACCGCAAATGCTCTGGGCCGATAAAGGTTCTGAGTTTATCAGTAAACATTTTAAGATTTTTTGAAGAAAAATAAGATCAAATTATTTCACACTGAGAATGAAGAGAAATCAAGCGTTGTTGAAAAATGGAAGATGTTCTCCACAAACAACAATACTGTTTACTGAGACAAACTTGATAAATTATTTGATAATTACAATAATACGAGACATTCAAGTATGAAAATGAAACCCGTTGAAGCGAGTAAAAAGACAAATGAGGAAAAAGTTTTTTCAAATTTGTACGGTGATTTGATTTACCTGGGGTCTAAAAAACCGAAGTTTGCAATTGGAGATAAAGTCCCTGTTTCAAAATACAAGAGGCGAGTATTTGATAAGGGTTACACACCAAACTAGACAGAAGAGGTATTCGTGATTGATGAGATTCTGCCAACCAAACCTGTAACGTATAAAATTGTTGATTTGATGAGAGAAGTGATTTATAGGCCTCGTGCACTTTTATCTGAAGAGATGTAATGTTTTTTGAAATATACATAGATTCAATAATTAGAGCCATTTTAACCTTACAATATTGATTCAGATAATCAAAAGGATTAACTTTATCATTTCCTTTTGTGCGAAATAGTGAAAGTATTTTCTTTGATTTGTCAGAATAAATAAGTTTTGCATAAAGAACTGGTGCAGCTGATTCATCTTCTTGTCTGTATATTCAACATGTTTTCAATAGAGTCCATTAGTTAAAGTACTCGCCATATCAGGTCTGAATTCTTCCTCAACATGATAACAACAGATTTCCGTAACTTTGTTTAAAGCACAATGAAAAGCTTTTTCAGTTTCATTT